ATTTTTTGTTAACTTTAAAAAATTGTTATAAACAAAATAATTAACTTTAATAAACTTTTATCGCGGGATCTTGTTAAGTATATATATAAGAAGAGCTCCACAGAGCCAAAAATTTATAGGTTTATAATTTAAATTTTTATGTCGTCATTTATGAAAACGGAGATAGGAAAAAAATTCGTTAATTAACAATTGCATAACTTTTTGAAAAATTAATTTAAATTTTTTTTTCCAACGGGAATATATTCTTTCAAGTATCTGGATGACACCATAATTTATTTAAATTTTTAAATTCATATTTGTTACTATAAAAAAATAATTTTATTTAAGAAACTGTCTTTAGCGGCAGTGGGCTCATGCCGTAATGTCTGCGCGGAGCCCTATTTTCAGCGTTAAATTAAAATTATAAATAATAGAGGTAGAGTTCCGAGAGCTGGGACTTTTTTTTCGGAAATTTCCTCCTCTTTAAGGACCTTTTTTCCAAATATCGTAAATATTAATAGTTTATGAGTTATTAACAAAAACGTAAATACCTCTTGTTTTTCATCTTATTTTGTTAATAACAATTGCAATTTTTTACGTGCAGTAAAATCCTCAAAACTCATTTTTCTAGAGGTCGTTCCGAATCCAATGAGCTATTGCTCATATTTTTAGGAGCTTTATCTCTATTTTTCACGTTTTTGAACTTGTTGACTGGACTAGGACTGCAACTCGACGCTTGTGTAGTGTGTGGGCAATGACGGATTTGTCCACGGATGGGTACGGCTCGGGGTTCGGCTCGCGGTGCGTGTAGTGAATGGTGGGCTTTACATCATGTCTTGTCTGATCAGTATTCATCTGAACACTGTTACAGTTTGACGTTGGTGATTGAAATACCTGCCGCAGGCATTTTTTGCGAGAAAAGTGATCCCTCATTGTCCCCCTTTGAAAGTTTTATAAAAAAAACACGCTACAGCATAATGCTCATCTTTTGTTTGTTGCCCAAATTAACGCGGGTGAAATCCTTAGACCATTAAACCACTGGACTAAGTACGCGCATAATTTTACTCAGTGCAAAGTCTGTCACTTTTTGAGGGGGACGAGGTTAACCACTACATCGAAATAAACTCACACAGCCTTAGTTATTTGTATTGTTACAATCGCCTACAAATATATTTTTTCACCTACGCACACTAATGACAATCACAAGTAATCGTAACTAGGGAAAGTTCGGTATCGATATTTTATTTTTCTTTAAATAACAATATCGATAGTTTTACTTGTTCTCAAAGATTATTTTATAAAATAAAAATATGACAACGGAAAAAATAAGTCCGGGTCTTTTAATACTCTCACTGGCACAATTACCCAATCACGTATAATTTTTGCTAAACTTCAAAAATCGTTTCGTGGGAGAAAATCTTAAATGTCATTTGTTTTATGTATATATGTTCATTTCTTTTTATCTGTCAAACAGTCCTTTCAACATAGGTACAGTGGAGTTTTTGGCGGGATTTCATCGAGTGCGGTTGGCGTCTTAATTTAATTATTCTTAAATTTGTTCATAGTGGATATTGTGAAATAAAATTTGTGTGATTTTGTGTTACAACCGTCTGGGCAACTGAAGAATTAGTGGAATCTTTAAAATATACGCTATTCCGGTCAAGTGGACGTGAGAATTTTATTGTAGTATTGACTACCTCACAGAAGCTTATCGAAAAAGCCAACTCGATATATTTCGTGCCAAACACTCCGAGAAGCATTAGAATGCGTCACACCCACATTCTAATGTAAAAAAAAGGAAGATTAATACAAAAATAAGACGATGGCTGCATGGCTATGCCTTTGCCTTTCTCAATAGAGAAGAATAGAACTAAAAAAAAAAACATAGGTACAGTCTTGTCCATAAAATGTGTGTTAAATTTAACGATTTCGACAATAAAAAATTTTTGCTACTGTAAGTGTAGATGGCCAGAGGTAAATTAAAATGAAATAAAAATACTTTAAGACATTAGATTAAAACTTTTATTGAAAAAACTACAACATGAACTCAAATAATCTTCTACACTCACTTTTATTTAACATTATTATGATTATTACAATTATTCTCAGTGGTACAAGATCTTTTGATGATTTCATATCTTTTAGGAGCTTATGTCAAACAAGTCAAAACTTATCATATTTTAAGACGCTTATATTAGCCTCACTTGTAATTAACTAGGTAAACAAATCTGGAAAGTCGAATTCAATCTACTTCTTATTCTCATATTGATTCAAAACTTGGTAAGTGTATGTAATTTGGATGACAATACGATAATCTGACATCATTGAGCCAGTCTGATAATGAGGCCAGGAGGTGAATAGTGAATTCTTCAATGTTAACAAAAAGATCCCTCGAGTCTGGGTTTATTTGGTTTGTTTTAATGAGCACTCATTCCACCATTCCAATGTTAAAGTATAAAAACTCATTTTTACTAAACCGTCATGAAACCACCAGCTGTCTCATCGTATTTTTTCTCTACTCTGGCTTTTATGCATTAAAATACATACGTACGTTACGTTCATATTACATACGCAAGCACGCACAAGCATGTTTTATTACTTTTTCTAGTTATATTTTCTCACGATTTATACATCAAGCAGTTACATGCTTAAAAAAAAAATATATATAAATATAATTGCAATTTCTTCTTTCAAATGTTTAATACTTGTAAAAGTTTTCATTTGACATTGTGGGTTACCTACAATGCGAAGAGATGGCGCTGCCTTGCAGCTTAAGAATGGCTAGAAGAATTTCATCGCGGCCATCAGGGCCGCGGTAGCATAATTGGTCAGCACATTCACCCGGATAGCGAAGGGTGCGGGTTCGAGTCCCGTCTGCTGACTGGTCCGCGCGATTTTTTTTCTAATTATAATTTCTTTAGATTTAAACATCAAGCAGTTACATGCTTTAAAAAAATATAACTATAATTGCAATTTCTTCTTTCAAATGTTTAATACTAGTAAAAGTATTCATTTGACATTGTGGGTTACCTACAATGCGAAGAGATGACGCTGCCTTGCAGCTTAAGGGTGCGGCCAGAGTGCACTCAGATTCAGACTCAGAAAACAAGCGCGAGAAAAAGCAGTCAACCTGCTTAGACTACACTGTTTATTTCTCGCGCTTGTTTTCGGAATCTGAGTCCGAGTGCACTCTGGCCGTACCCTAAGAATGGCTAGAAGAAATATGTTTTATAAATATCAAACTTATTGATTTTTAAAATGTATTAATTTTGAGTAAATGTGTCTTATGCATTCAAAAAAACAAAAAACCATTATAATCATATTATTTTTTCAATTTTATTTCCCATCACTTCAAAGTCGTAAATAAATAGTCTCGCTACACTCAATTCAAGTTATATAATTTTTATTTCGAATCTTAAATGCAGGGCCTAAGGTCGAAACTTGATAATTAAAAAATGTAGTCTCGTAGGGTGTGCGTTTGAAAGTCTCGTGGGGAGCATGCAATAGAGACTATATTCGCCAATAAATAGTTAAGGTCACTAAAATGGACTCTATTTTTTAATCATAAGGTATAAAATCATATGAATATGTTTCGGCATACATTCGAATTGGATCTCACTCGATTACTTGCAAGTTTCTATTCTCGATTATTGTAAAATTCATTTTTAATTGAAAAAAAGCACTAAAATATAGAAAATACATTTACATGTGAAATGATATCCCGTCTTTTTGTAAATTAGAGGTGTTTGTTCTTTTTTTGCACGTTAAAACGGCACAGGTTAGCATTTTTTTGCGAGGAGACACGGGCTGTTGTCACTACGATAACGATTCTTACACTGTGGAAATCTATCGATTGTAAGTAGTTTTTATGAACGCACAGGATCATTTGATCTTATACCTTGATAGGGGGGAAAGATCTTGCGAGGCTAGTCCTGTGGTTTATTTAATGGTCTAAGGTGAAATCACAGGGAACCTTTACTTGTGACATAACTGTAATGGAGGCCATACACGTTAGGTTTTGCATGATGGTTCTAACCGTGCATTCATAACCGAGTTACATGCACCGAAAACTGGTAGTTTTATCACATACACGTTAGAGCTTGCCTGTCGGTTATGCATGTTCGGCTAAAACCATCATGCAAAACCTAATGTTTATGGCCTCCATAATAGTTAGACATATGATATCGCGGACTTTTTTACGTGATTAGTTAGGGCGCGATTACACTTGGTCGGTAGCCCGAATAAGAGTGCCAACAGAATTCGGGTTCACGACTAAACCCCAAAACACAAGCGTCGGCGATTGAACTTATAGTTTAAATAAAATTGCTAAAAAAATAACAATCTTTACTTAATCGCCATTACCATGAAAAAAAAAACTCGCTATACTACTAAAGGATTTTCGTATGTGAAGAGGTTACAATTTAAGAAAAAAATAAATATTCATGACGTCTAAATATTCTTTAAATGCATAGTTATTTATGCACCCTCATTTTGCATTGTATAAAATAAATATGATGTCACAGAGTGCTTACAATTTATTGTAAAACAAAGCTGTAGAGTTTTTTGAAACACACCATTGCCTTTACATTTTTGATTCATAAACATGCTCACATATTACAGAACTTGACTGTACCAGTTCTTCCATAATATATCGATTAAACAAGATGTTTATAGTAAGGAAAAAATTACGAAAATCTTTAATAAGAAAATTATTTTTGTTCACGCGGACCAGGCAGCAGACGGGACTCGAACCCGCACCCATTGCTATCTGGGCGTGTATACTGACCATTCTACCTCGGCCCTGATTGCCGTGTCGAATTTTCTCTAGAATTAGAGGTTTAAAAAAGTTGCTCAGCAATATGCAGGCCTTCTAAATATCAAATTCATAAAAGTGGGAACATAACATAATGCGAAAGTTTGGCCATGGAGCTCTGTAAATCTCCCTGTAAAATCACTACACTGAAGAATAGTATTATTTAACTGCAGTCTTCTGAAGGGACGTAGAGGTGGGACCATGATAAAAATTCAGTTTTATAATAAAACATAGAATGTGTTATTAGCTGAGCAAAATTAAGAAAAACAGAATTTTAAATTCTATTGTACTCTTTTACTTCTTTCTCAAATAAATCTATTGTGTGGTCACAAACTTTTTGCAGATCTTTGAGACCTCTTTTTAATATCTCTAAAGCAGGTACTTCTCGTGCTTGTATTCTAAAATGCATCTTTGATTCTGCTGGATGTGGTACTGTGTAGCCACAAAAGTCAACATCTTCACTGAAATAAAGAAAGGCTTTTTTTATTACTTATTATATCAAAAGATACATATAAAGAGGTATCAATTTGCAAGCGATAAATACCTCTGATTGGTAAAACAATGAGCAAAGGACACTAAAGACACTTTCAATTTAATTTTTCTACTAGGCAATAATTAAGCATTTGGTGTTTTTAGATAATGCTTCTCGAACCTGCAATGTATATAGAATTGCAAGGATCAAGTACGTCTTTTTAGATAAGGATAGTGACATAAGTCACTCAAATAATTTTTACTTAAGCTATCCATAGGAACTTTTTATTGAGCCTAGAAAGGAATTGAATTAAAACTATGAAAGCACGTCATATTTTGACATGCTTTCATAGTCAGTCTTACTTTGATAAAATATACTCACTATCTGTTTATAATACATTTTAAAGCATTCCCAAGAGTGTGACTTTCATTTTGGAAAACATAAGTACGGCATGTTAGGCCAGAATCTTCATCTCCTGGCAGCTGTAAGTTATTAGAGAAAAGATTAGTGATTTATTTATTGGTAAAACTGTACTTCTAGGGCCCAAAAGGTGATACTTGTTTTTTTTTGTAGAAAAGGTCTTTTTAACAGTTTTTTTTTTTGGCGCTTCGCCGGCCGCTCCCGCGGCACGCTCGCTTTGCTCGCTCGGCTCGCGCGTTATGGTCACAACACTAACCTAACCTAGTGTAAAGTATCACCACTTGATAAGTAAAAATTTTCAGTATTTTTTTCTAAAAAACTACCATAAGTGTGACATTTTTTTAAATAATGTGGTTAACAGAAACCTTTTTAACAACAAAAATGCGAAATTATAACCAACAAAATTGTGAAGTTTTTACTTTAGGGCCCTGGAAGTACAGTATATCATTTCTTTTGAGAATACATACACAATCCCTTGTGGGTTATTATCAATGGTACTGAGAGTAAACAATGTTTATAGATTACTTCCATAGCTTCAACGATGCTAATTATGGCGTTAGTTGGGTCTCACAAATCTCAACATGCTGTGCAGGAACAGTAGTCATAGGTTGGTGAATATAGATAGATAGATTCTTAATAGTTGTAGCATATAGTTTGTTGATACTATACTGCTAATGCTGGCATTGGAAACTTACAATTTGAAGAATGGTTGGTTTACTTTTGATTTCTAATCACGCATGGGAGGTTATAGTTTAGTTTTGCATGGACGGATAAATATCAAATACCGTTTTATAATTACCTCAGATATTTTCATTTCTGTCTTTGGATATAATTGTTAAATCAATGATTTACTATTTTGTCTTACTTTGTATGAAAGAAAACCTAAAAAGAGAAGAGTAATAAAATGCTGAAAACAAATCAAACCAACACCATAGACTAGAGATCAGTGCCGCCAACTCCAAAAAATATTTCATGCTAAATCGACGTAAAAAAAATGCCAAAAATATGCTAAATTTTAAAAAAGATGCTAAAGTATAATGCTAACCACTTATGTCCATTACCGATATTTTTTATATAAGAATGTAACTTTAATGTTTGTGAAAGAGTATAATATATTAGTGTCAATAAGTAACAACACAATTAAAATAGATATTGGTACCAATTCTGGCATGATTTTCTAAACTTAAAACTAAATTTAACATCAGTCTCTCCTTTTCATTCTGTATAGAGAATGACAAGGATATACTGCTGTCAAATTTAAGTTTAGGTTTAGAGAATCATGCCAGAATCGACACCATAGGTGTCGATTCTGGCGTGATTCTCTAAACTTAAAACTAAATTTGACATCAGTATCTCCTTTTTATTCTGTAAAGAGAACGAAAAGGATGCACTGTTGTCAAATTTAAGTTTAGCTTTAGAGAATCATGCCAGAATCGACATCATATTAATGTTAATTAATATTCTGTGTCGATGAGAAATGTAAATAATATTATATATTATTATATGTGTGTGTGATCAATGCCGAAAGTATGAATAATCGCAGTCTGTCTCAGTCCATTGTACACCCTGTTGGTGTGGGTTGTAGGCAGACGATGAGACATGTGTGGTTCTGTGTAGTTTCTGGTTGAACCTCTAAAGAATGTGTCAGTATTTGGTAGTACTAAATATATTTCATTGCACTAGGTGTAAAGATAGAATAAGACAACCACACAGAATGTCCATAGGGTCTCTGCGTGACAACTCCAGCAGTCACATCACAAAACCCAGAGTGCCTGTCATCAAAACGGACACATTGCTGTTGCCCAACAAGATAATCTCAGAACTAATCTACTACCACATCCGACACAAAGACCGATCTCAACATTGATAAGAGGATGTCGAAATCAACGGTGTTAAAAGCATTACTGAAATCTAGAAGTACTAGAAGTGTCACACGTTGATCAGACATGCCTTCGCGTATATCGTCGGTTATCTTTGTCAAGGCAGTTACCGTACTATGGGCTGGGCGAAAACTAGATTGAAGAGGGCTCAGAATCTTTTCAGTGTTAGCAAATATATTGACCTGGTGATGGACAAGTCGCTCAAGGATTTTAGAAAGAAACGGGAGATTAGAAATAGGTCTAAAGTGACAAGGTAAACTAGGATTGGATAACTTTGGAATGGGAAGAACAGCTGCAACACGCCAGCAGCGTGAAAATGACCCAGTGCTAAGAGAGAAGTTAAAAATGTGACAGAGTATAGGAAGAAGTGTCGTAGTACCTAATAAAATCATTTTCCGGCTAATTCCATCCAACCCTTCCGCGTTGGACTTTACAGCCGAAATGCACCGCTCGACCTCACACTCGGTCACAGGTCTAAAAGAAAAGGAAGAACTCTTCGGATAATGATCTGCGGACAGTTTTTGCAGCGTGGATAGCTTTACGTAGGAGGGGACGGACGAAGGTGTTGTGAAGTAAAGGTTCAAGGAATCGGGATCAAGTTTCAAAGGAGAAGGTGAGTTAACCTTACCAAGTGATTTGAGGAATGACCACACCTTCGCAGGATCACCGTTCGATACAGAGGCATGAATATGTTTTCTTTGTGCATCTCTGCAAATCCTGCTGCATCGGTTACGGAGCTCCTTGTATTTAAGAAGTGTAGAATCACAAGGATTCCTTCTGTATCGCAACTTTGCTTAATTACGCTTGGACATTAAGGCCTTTATATCTGGTGTTAGCCAGGGAGCAGGAAGGTGTTTCAGCCGCACAGGACGCAGAGGCGTATGCTTATCGAATACTTCGATAAGGATCGATTTAAATATATCTATCTTCCCATCAATAGTTGTGGCGTTAAATACCACATCCCATTAAGATCAGTCATGAAGCTGATCTCGTCAAAGTTTTTAAAGTTCCGTTGCATGACCACTCGGGGTTTGGGTTTAGGACAACGAATTTTATAGGAAAGATAAAGGAGATCATGGTAGGAGAAGGCTTCAGCAGACAACTGACCATGGGAGTTAACAAGATCGGTGGAGGAGACTATGGCAAGATCTAGAAAGGATGGCTGACAACCAGGAAAGTGGTGCGTTGAAGAAGAAGAAAGAATACTGAGATTGGTCGAATCCACAGACGTGATGATCGAGAATCGTGTTTCAGCAAGCAAGTGTTAAAATCACCCATAATTATTGTGTGATCAGCTGTTGGTACAAAAGTCTCCATTAAGTTCTCAAATTTTGAAAAATAATCAATGTGGAGGTTAGGGCTATAAAACACCCCGAGAAGTACCTTGAGATGGCCTAGGAGAACCTCTATAAACAAATGTTCGGAAGATACAGAATACTGAGAAGGAGACTTATCGAGAATATTAAAAGAGAGATTATTTTTGAGGTATATTGCAACTCCACCACCACCCTTGCCAGTCCTGTCATTACGGATTAGATGAAATCCAGGAAGGGAGTAAGTAATGGAAGGCAGACAGGGCTTAAGGAACGTTTCTGATGCCAGGATAGCATGTACATTCTGATTGTTAGAGAAGGTGGACACTAAATCCGCATAGTGTGCGGGAATGCTTTGAGCATTTATGTGCACTATGTTAAAATTTTTCCGAGTTAAGAATATGGACTCAAGCTGTAAATCGAGAGGTTGAGATAAACTATGGAAGCTGCTGTCAATTAAAGAGGAAGTGGAAAAAAAGTCGGAGCTGTCGCTCAGTGAATTGTCTGCGTCGTTATCCATCTGTAACATAATATGTTATTAAAAATATTAAATATTATATGAATAAATACGAATATTACAAAATATATAAATGAATATATATAAAAAAAACGGATATCGCTACGTTCCGCCGGCAGTGTGAAAGAGAATCGCACCAGCTACACAAACATAACAACATCAAAGAAGAAACAAGACAAAGATGTAAATAATAACACTTAATAAATTAACTTTAAAGTTAACCATTAGACCATGATTGTATGTAAAGTAAGAAAGAAAAAAAATCAAGGTAAAATTAAACAATGCCACCCAACCAACAATACATCTCCGTTTTATTTGACGTTGGCTGAATGGACAAATCGTGCTTACCACAAAAAAAACGCATTTCCGAACAAATAATATCTGTCACTGTCAGTGAGATTTGACACATCGGGTTGGCCGAATGACATTGTCCAGTGCTGCCAACACGGAGTTTTTAGAGCAAGATTTAGCTCTAAATCAGCTTGGTTAGCTTTAAAAAAGTAAGTCTAGCTCTTTAGCTCTACTTTTCAACAATTTTAGCTTTTTCCATTTACACTATGAATAAATCCTTTTGTATTATATTTAGCTCAAAATACTTGTTTCAATAGTCAAAATATACCTACATTGTTTGTAAATGCGAGGTTAATTCTAAAAAAGGTGATTTATTTAATCATATAAAAAGAAAAAAAACACCTTTGAGTGGCGCAACCATTTTCAGCGGGATAACCAAAATTATGTATTTCTCCAAAACTGAAAATTTATTCTGGGACAAAATTTTCAGCGGGATAACCAAAACTAAGTTTTTCTCCAAAACCGAAAATTGATTCTGGGACAAATTCCGCTGAATTCGACTCTGCTGGCTTACTACATCTTCTTTCCCGTTTAGCTTACCTATACCGTGAAGGTTGTCTGGAAGAGATCGCTTGTAGCGATAAGACGGCCTTTGCCCATATTATTGTTAAATGTATTCTTTGTACCTATGTCCTTTTGTATGTGGGCAATAAAGTGTTTATTATTATTATTAATTAGTAATACAGCCATTCTTTAAATTCTGATATTAATTCCCACTCCGAACGTTTATGTTGAGTATATTTTGCAGTCATTGTTAAAATAATATTAGAAAACAGTATAATACAAAATTACCACTACTTTACGTGTAAATGTATTGTTTGTTTGCCAGCCAGCCAACTAACTTACATGATAATCAATGTTTATCATGTTATTATTTTGGCTTAATCATAAAATAAAAATTCATTCATTCATCTGTTTTTCAACTACGGCGATTTCCGTCGCATAATATACATAACGAAACAAACGATGCATAGACTAGTTAAAATAGTTTTTGAACGACAGTGAAGTAGCAACAAGTGTGACATTTTTTTATCGCTAGATGGCTGAACAAACAAAAATTGATAAAACAGCGCGGCAATTGGGGAGCGGTCGCGGTAAAATTTTTAACGTAATTTAATAACGTAATATTTCAGTTCTTCATTTCTAAAAAGTAAACAAGACAATATGTTAAAAAATATGCTTGCTAAAATATTTTTTTTAATGCTAAATCACTTAAAATATTAAGCCATAAATATCCTTAATTGGCAGCACTGCTAGGGATGCAACGATACGAGTAAATACAAGTAACTACTCGATACTTTTCTTTCGATACCAAGTACTTTTGGCATTGTGACTTTAGAACTGAGTAACAAGTAGTATCGTTAAATAAGTACTTGTATTGGTACTCGGTCGGTTACTTACTGAGTATCAAAAAAACTCATGGGCAGACTAATAACTATTGTAAGGTGTCTATCTGAAATTTTGTTTCGCGAACGCATCATTTCTACTGCTCAGTTGACAGCCTTGTGTATGATTTATTATATTTATTCCTATTTTTCAGTCAGTCATTCGTTCATCCCGTAGCGTTAGCCGTTATTATGTTTTCGTTACATTAAAACTGTGACTGAATTTGTAATTGTAATATCGTTCGTCAAAATTTATCGATGCAAGTAAGAATCAATACCTAGATGGTATCTTTATTTTTTTTTATTTAATTTTTCATGACCATGAATACAAGTCCTTCAGTCGTATACATAAATACAAATCTTAATCTTCTTTTTTTTACATTAGAATGTCGGTGTGACGCATTCTATTGTTTCTCGGAGTGTTTGGCACGAAATGTATCGAGTTGGTTTTTTCGATAAGATTCTGTGAGGTAGTCAACACTACAATAAAGTTCTC